CCAAGACACTTGGCAAAAGAAACACTGAGACTATATGAGAGGCCTAAGGGAGAGGGGAAGGAGTTGAAGAACCTAACTGCCAAAGTTTTACTTAATCTACAACAGCCTACCGATCAGACAGCACCATTGTTTCCATGAACGAGGGTGACTAACATGTTTGCTAAGGGGCCAGGACCTGTGAGAGAGGAGGGGAGGATGCACCAAAGCCTACGAACAGCCTGAGGAATAAAAACACGCCGTCAGGAGTCAGGTGCTGGAAGAGGCGAAGTGAAGAAAGTAATCTCATCAACACACTAACAAATTATTACTGAAGTACACACCTTGCAGACAAACTTTTGCACTGAATTGTGATTTTATTTTTTTTCATAAAATACAAACCTTTGCACTACATTATAGTAGTGTTCTAGCACAAGAAAATTCCAAATTGTTCATGGTGGAGAGGAGGTTATATAATATTTTTTCATTCTTAAAATCAATTATAAATAAAACGGTCATGATAAAGTATGTTGGACTTGTACAGCATGCAGATTATTGCTTAGAACTTGCATATACTTTAAAGTGGCACACATACAAATAAAGTGTACAAACATTTTGAAATTTTTAACAAAAATACCAAAGCCATTTATTATCAATCCAGATAAATCACAACTGGAAACCAAAATAAAGGATACTAAATTGTATTCTAATTACTGATAAGTCTTATTAACACTGATTTATAAATTATCTAGTTTTATGTTTTATAAATAAAACAAAGTTCTTCAGCCTTAGGGAAATTATAAAGTTATTCTCAAAACGTTAAGTGTATTTTGAGAGACTTCCAAAAACTTTAACAATTAAATATTATGTATTATATAGTCTCAAAAAACTATATATAATATATATTCACTATAGCTATTGCAAGTACTACAGTTTTCAAGTAGATTTTCCAATAGAGTCTAAATGGCATTATTATTACAACTTCTAACAATTAGCAAAAACAATTCCTAACTTATTCTAGCTATAAGTATTACCACACAGAAGCCCATTAAGTAAAAAAACATAGTCATACCAGAAACAAAACAAGCAGGAAACAAAACTACACGCCACATTTTATTCACAAATATATTTTTAGGTTTCATTAACCAAACAGTAGCAAGTAACTGCTGCACATTCCACTACAGAAATACAGAAAAATAAAGAAAAAATATAGGTGATGTTTAACAAGTTTTTCAGCCAGAGGTATTTTACCTATATATCTTTAAGATTTAGAAATGCTTCTCATTATTTTTGGTCTTGTATGTAGGGTCTGATTTCAAAATTCTGCAGCTCAGAGTGGTGTAAACATTTTCAATGCAAATAAATCAATCTTTAGGAGCTGCCTACCAGTCTGTCCTGGGATGCAAAGTATTTTCCAATTAAGGTATGATATTATCAGAGAGGCTGTCTGAGTTCTGGGTGAAAAGACAGTAGGGCTCAAGTCATTGGGTGCTGAACTCCTGGAAACCCCAGGTAATCTTTTAGCTAGTAAGCTTGTTTTTAAAGAAATATTACCAGAACAAAGTTTTCTCTGTTGCAGAACAGTGTTCTAAATAAAATAACTCTGCCGAAGACAGACCCCCACCCCGATCCCACCTCCTAACAGCTCAGCCCCCTCTGCTCCCCTGGCTTACAATGAACCCCTAGCTTAAATACTTTCTAAAATTCATTGCTAACCCAGCTTTAAAAAAAAGAGTGATTACAGATGTTTCTAAATAAAATCATAATTAGCTTTGCTTTGTGTTGTAAACAGTTATTAGTACATATTGAATAGCTTCCTGTAGCCTCCTGAATTGTGTTTTATTAAATTTACAACAATGCTTTTTTTCAAGGAGAACCAATTTGTAAACTTTTAACCTTGGTACAAGACCAAGAATGTTACAGATGTACGGAAGATCTCTGGAGTTGACACAGAAAGGTGTTGGCCTATTGCAGGGAGGCACCAAGGAAGTCTGGTGTGTCAGCCAGAACAAATAGAAGGACTAAAAAGATTTAGAAAACTTGGAGATTGAGGTTTTTCATCTTTTAAGGGAAAAGCAGTCTTGGTGTCTGCTCTAGACCCTAAAGGCTGTTTTTTGCTACAAACATCACATGTGCGTTGTATCAAAATTCTCTTTCAGCATTTGTAGTGGAAGCCAGCCGTGGTTAAGGCCGGGAGGTGAGCACCTCCGAGAGTACGCCTGGGGAGGCGAGTGAGAACCTGGCTCCTACCTGTTGCAAACCCTGCGCCACTCTTCTGAGAAAGTGATATGGTAGCTTCTTATGGAACCAAAACACACAAGTACTTAAGCGGCTATGAAATAGAACTGACAACATCACCAAACGTGAATTTTTCAAATTCATTCACAACTGGCTAGGAGTACTTCAACTCAACTCAGAAGCATATTTACATATTTGGAGTAAGTACAACACAAAAAATCAAAATTCATTCAGATGTTTACTAGGGCCTTTTGGAACACGTTTGTTTCCCTTAAAAATGAAGTAGCAGAAACACACACACGACTGTCACATTTCCCTTGTCTCCATGAGAAGGTTGCCATGTGCATGATAGTAAATGGCGCCCTGACAGGAAAGTTGGCCCTTCCTACGTGGAGCGCACCTCCCCAGGTGCCCAGCGTGTCTCCGAGAGAGTATACAATTTTAAAACCGACACGAGTAAACTTTGACTTGAGTCAGCTACTAAGATTTGGAAAAGAATCTGATTCAGATGCCTACAAACTAGGCATTTATTACAAGTTTTAAGACAGTCCTGGGTCATCTGAAATATACCAGAAAGTCAATGATAATGACATAACTCATTTCTCATAACATGGTACGGGTCTATGAAGTAAAATAGTTGAAATAAAAAATTGTTCACATAGTAAGGGGCACTTGAAGACTGAGTCAATTTGCACTCATAAAACTCCATTTGGAGGTGTAAATAAATGCAAAGAATTCTTAAAATTTAGATATAAGAATGTAGGCTTTACAAATTCAGGCTCCTAATTTTAAATTCTCACAAAATATTTAATGAAGGATGTATGAATTTGCACGCTACAAGTTGGTTTCCACTGATTTTTAAGTTTCACAATGACTTATTTTCTAGAATACTACACATTCGGGTTGTCACTAATCTTTTTCTAGAAAAATAGAATTAAAAATGTATACCAATTTACTTTTATTTTCTACAAATAATTTATTAGTGTTGTCAAATATCATAATACCTCATAATCATTTATGTTAATCCATGTAGCCAAAATATTTAACATTTAAAATGTCTAGCAAAAGTCTGTCATTTAATAAATGAAAAATTCATTGCTTAATAAGTGATATGGTCTGCCTTTATTTGTATTTTAGGTAGCTGGATACAATCACAGAACAGCAAAGTACAGCTCTGTAGAGATCTGACTCAAAGTAGCATGGTAGGTTATTGTGGCATTTCCATTTGATTTCTGTTGAATAAAGAAACATATATAACCTACTTTTTTACATTGAATTTGGATGCTGGGTTAACTGTCACGCAGCCAGCATAAGGCAGGGCCCGAAGACTAAGGAAGTCATAGCCTTTGTTTAAAACTTTGCTTTTTAAAATATAGTAATAGTGAGCATCTCTACCATCAGTAAAAGGTAACACGAATGAAAGTAAAAATGAAGTTTCAACGTGAAACAACTATTGAAACTACTACATGGAAACTCACTAACACAGCTTTATATTGTATTATCGGTGGGTTTAAAATCTGCGTTCAGAATTATAGAAATATCCAAAGAGTCAAAAATGTTTATTTCAAGGTTTATTTTTGTAAAGGAATGAATTTCCAAAATAGTTTTATAATATAAATGTTTTTCTTTTTTAAAAAGCCACTTTTCTTGCAAAGGAGCAGAACAAGATAAAATCACTTTATTTCCTAGGCCAATACATATTAAATGACTATGATGTAGACATCAATAAATTTAATGAGCCATTATCAATGTTACTATTAGCTGCTTTAAAAACAAATACCTATATTTCACATTACTTTGTCAAAAATAAGTGTACCTTTTAGAAGCAAATCAACCTCATTTTATCATTTAGACTAAGATTTCAGTTTCTATCTTTAAATGTTCTAGAACTTATCAGGCTCTGTCCACATTGGACAACAAGTCAAATTAAATTAAAAATCTTGATTACATTCAACTAGCCTCCTCTCATCATCATAAGACAAACAATGAAAATGAATGAACATTTTCCTTCAAACTGGGAAATTGAATGAATTAAATCTTTTGAGTGGGGTTCAATTAAGTTCAAGTATTTACAGCTAGTTGAATTAAATTTTTTCCCTAGGTTAAGAACAATCATTAAAGTCAAGTATTTGAGAAAAATAAATAAAGGCAACAAAAGATAAATAATTCTATATTAGGATTGCAAAATCCAAAACACACATACCCATGCGTGCGCGTGCACACACACACACACACACACACACACACACTTGTTTATTTTCATGTAAGACAATAATTTTGATAACCATAATACTTGGATTAAAATACCTTATTCTTTCCTGCTCTGCTAAGAAAGACAAAAGCTCAGTGCACTCAAAGTGCTGAGTGAGCAAGGGTGACTGTCAACTGAGAAAACAGGAACACTGATTATTCTGTCATTTTGGTCTCATCAAGAGGCCCTTTTCAGGAGCATGACAAAAACATGTTTCATAAGACTATACTCATGATATCAGGTTCTGAACTTGGGAGATTTTGCAAACGGAAAAATACCTTTTTTTAAAAAAAAATGAAACCAGACAACAGTGTCCAAACGTTTTCTTCCCTAATGACTTGTACAGTATTAGCCTAGCCCACCGGTGGTGAACCTACGGCACGCAGGCCACAGTGTTGTCTGTACCACAAAAAGCTCTTACAGGTTCACTATCACTCACCCAGGCATTTATCAATGTTTACTCTTAGAAGAATCTCATTCTTAAAGGAGGTCCATAGTATCTGCCTTAAGCCTTACTATAAAATAAAAAGAAATGAATTGATAAAATGCTAAAATAGAAATAAGTGACATCTAAAAATTATCTTAAAATGCAGGAAGTATATTCCATGACCAAGCTAATGAAAAATCTTCAGATGAGTAACATACTTCATCCTAATAGATGATTGCATATCTAAAATAGAAAATGTCATTTTTAATAATCTGGGGGAAAGATCATGTCAACAATTTGGAAATAAAATCCCATATAAGTGCTGACATAAGAAAAGAGTACAACGCAAAAGAATGTCGAGTGTTATTTACAGGTTTGAAAGCAGTTCTTGTCTTTTCACCAAAGGTGGTAGTGCTCCAAGGGCACCAAATTATCACAGTCATCTTTCCACAGAGAAAAATACTAAAGCAGGCTACAAGATTTCCAAAAAGATTCACCACTAATATCTATAATTTTCACTTAAAACTTTAAGACTGTATCCATGCTTATAATGCAGAAGAAAAAAGAAAATCTTGGAATGAAGACTAAATTTGGTTTCTTCTAAAAAGAAGAAAATATGACACGGAAACTGTGAATAACAATGATAATTCATAAGGAAGCACAAGAACATGCCAATTTGTTCTATAGTAGATACAATGCTGGGTAGTAATGAAGATTGCTTATCTAAACAAAAGTGCTTGACAAACCTCACCTTTAATCAAGTTTTCCATTCTGAAGACTATTATTGGCTTTCTCTTGTCTGATGAGAGAGATGACTTTGACGCACCCTTTATAGATTTTGATCATCCACATGACATTCATCACATCCAAAACAACACAAGTAGAGAGCCACGAATATTGGATTACAGCTCCCATCCTGATGTAGGGTTCTGTTCCATAGACAGAATACAAGAAGCTATAGAAAGGAGGTATTACAGCAATCCGCACAATGAAGAACACCACTGTCATAAGAATTCCATTGATGACATTAGCTTTCGAAAACTTAGGATACTTCAGAGCTTCGAAGAACCACCTGAGAAGAGAATTAAAGAAACATCACATTTATAACACTGCAAATTAACCATCCCATTTTTATTTTTTAATTTATTTACAAGTCAGGCAATACATCCTTATGATTTATATGGAAAAGCAAAGGGCCTAAAGTAACGAACCCAATACCAAAAGAAGTGAGTTATTGCTCACTACCCACTCCAAAAACTTACCATGAAGCTACAGCAATCAAGATTGTATAGTATTGGAGAAAACATAGAAAAATCAGGGCCAGTCAAATAGCTCAGTGGACTAACGTGCCTGCTTAGGCAGAGCGCAGCAGCCAGCGTTCCATCCCCGGTGCGCTAGCCCCACTACTGGGGCGCGCTGAGACAGTGACTGAGACTGGGCATGGTGACATGCGCCTGTAATCCCAGCTCTTTAGGAGGCTGAAAGCAGGAGAATCACTATGAGTCCAATCTGTATAGTGAGACCCTGTAGACCCCGTACCCTGTCGACCCTGTACTAACTACATAAAAAAAGTCAATGAACAGAAAGCTCAGAAAAAGACTCATGCAAATATATTCAACCGATTTTGCCATAGCTTAAAGATAATTCAATAGAAAATCATTTTTATAAACTGTAAAGCATTACATCTATATGCAGAAAAATAAACCTAATACCTAAGATTAAACAGCCCTAATGCCACACACAGAAATTAATTCAAAATAGATTAAAGGTACCCATATAAAACACACTAAAACTTCCAGAAAAAGAGGAAAAATATCTGTATAAGCTCAGGTTTGGTGATTTTTTTTAATATGGCGCCAAAAGTATGAATCATGGAACGTAGAATGATAAGTTAAACTTCACTAAAGTTAAAAACTTCCTCTGCGAAACACACTTTTAACAGAATGAAAGATAATCATGCACTGGAAGAAAAGGTTTATAATGTACACATATGAAGTATACCAAAATGTACAGAGAATTTTTTAAACCAAACAATGCAGAAAAAACTCAATTAAAATAAGAACAAAATATCTTAAACATCTCATTAAAAAGGATGTGCAGATGGAAAACAAGCATATGAGTTAAAATACTGGCACACTACAATATTGGCTAAATTCACCTTTACATTCTTTGTATATAATGTATATAAAACATAAGTGAACATTTATACTTGGATATCCTCCCCAAGATCTCAGTATGCATGTACAAATATTCTAGACTCCTAGAAAATATGACATCTGAGACCCCTCTGGTCCCAAGCATCGTAGATAAGGGACACTTAACCTATATGTGTACAGTACAAGTATAGGCGGTAAGGCAGCCCAAGCAAGAAGTGATGAAGTAGGGCACCAACAGCAGAGGTGGAAGAGAGGGGTAAAGAATAAGGGAAATACTTAGAAAGTTATATGGCAGGACCTGGTGATGGATGAAATGTAGGCGAGGAAGAAATTGGCAGCAGAATCCCACATGTCAAGCAGGAGTAATTAAGTGAACAGACAGGCCACACACTGATCAAGAGAATGCAGAGAGTAACCTGTCCCACTGCTTTAGGCATTTTAAATTTGACGTCCCACTGGAGAGAAAAAAAAAAAAAAAAAAACTGGCCTATAATATAAAGAGATAATATCAAGTAGTCTTCATATATAGAACAAAACTGTGGTCCAGGGATATTAAGTAACTTGCTGCAGAGCCAGGGTTATAGCTCAGTCACACAGCACTTGCCTGGCAAGCATGAGGTCCTGAGCTTGATTCTCGGTTCCAAAACAAAAAGTAGCTTGCCACAACCATTAATCCTGACAGGGCAACTTCACTAGATTAAGAAAAGGTTGGCACACTCTCCTGAGTATATCTGGGTGGGCGATGGAGGAATCAACTCCCTTGCCTTTCCTTCCTGGCACACTTTCCTGCTGCCATGAATTAAGCAGCATCTTCCCACCATGCTGTTCTGCCACAAGCTGATTATGGCATGAAACTATGAACAAATTAAACCTCTCCTTCTCTAAGTTGTAGGTGTTAAGAATTACATTTCAGTGATGAGAAAGCTGAAAAATACAGAGCACTGGTGACAAGTGTGGGGACCCTGTTGTGACTAGGCCTATGCATGAGACTCAGAAGGCTCTGGAACTACTTTGGGAGGTGCTGTAAAGGCTTAAACACATGGCATAGGAAAGTGTCAGATGTGTGACTCATGGGAGAGCTCAGAAGAGCAGAGTGCTCATAGGAAAACCAGGAAGTGTCCAGCAGAACAGGACTCCACCGGCAGTTGCACTGCAGGCCATGTGTGTTCATCTCTGGCAGAAAATTTGTCTAGATTTTTCCCATGTTCTGAGACTTTGAAAGCAACTGACATTAAGTGTAGTAATTAATCTTTTTGTAGAGGAAATTTCAAAACTGCCTAACATTCAAGCTGTGGCATGGGTACTGCTGGCTTTTAACCAGATTTCTGGGCAAAGAACAGATCACAAAAAAACCTGCAAAACATAAATTTTGACCTAGAAAGAAGCATGGGTATTTGGTGCCAAACGAGCTCTGGTTTCTAAAGAGATTAGCAACATTAAAAAGAAAACACATACTGTGACAAGGCCAAAAGAAAAAAAAGACACCTTGATGGCTTCTCAAGGAACATCAAGACTCTACCCATTGCAGGCTTAAGGATGCAGGCTTAAGGATGCAAGTGTCAACTTTTCTTTTTAGGAGAGAGTTCCAGGGACCCCTGCCCAAGAAGGGCCTCCTAGAATACTGGTTCCCCAGGATTCATCATGCTCAGCCATTCAGCCCTCAAGAGGCTGCCACTGTCATGGGGGCCTAGCTACTACTTCCACTGGCAGCAGACCTTGGTGTCATCAATGGCAAAGGAAACCACAAGAACTTCAGAAACGCATAATAATTAAATAGCACCCTCCTGAACAACCAATGGATCACAGATGAAATTAAATAAGAAATTAGGCATTTTCTACAGTTAAATGATAATGACAATCTGGATCTTATGGACACAACAAAAGCAGTCCTAACAGGGAAATTCATAGCAGTGCATTCCCACCTCAGGAAAACAGAGCAAGAGCAGATAAACAACACACGGTGACTCTCAAACTTCTAGAACAAGAGCATGCTAAGCCAAAACTTGTGCAGTGGAGAAAATTATAAATATCAGAGCAGAAATTAATGCACTGGAGACTAAAATAACAATACAAAGAATCAATGAATTGAAGAGCTAATTCTTAAAAAGATAAATAAAATCAACAAACCCTTATCCAACCTTATAAAAAGAAAGAAAGAAAGAAAGAAAGAAAGAAAGAAAGAAAGAAAGAAAGAGACTCAAAGCCACACATTAGGAATGAAAAGGGTGAATTCACAACGGACCTTACAGAAATTCAAAAGGTCACCTATAGCTACACTTTGAAAACTTATATTCCAAAAGGATGGGGAATGCAGACAGGACAGAATCATATAT